GAGTACCCGGAGAGAACCCACGCATGCTCAGGGAGAACATGCAAACTCCATGCAGTACCAGCCTGTTAGTTCAGGCACTAAAAACCCACAGATAGATCAGAACATGCTGGTTAATGTTCACCAATCATCTCAAATGAATCATTTTAGAAGTTTAGCTAATAAACCAGTCATCCCACTGTGGTTACCAGCAGCCAATCTCTGATGCTTTCATTTCAAGTCAATTATATATATAAAAAAAAACACTTTAATCCCAAAGTGAAATTTAAATGTTGCAGTGAATCATTAGCGGTTTTTCAACAGGAAGAGAAAAGGAAGCAAATAACCTTAGATTAAATAATAAAACGTTCACATTAAAGCAGATATTATCTGTTAAACCTCCAGCTGTCGTCTGACCTGATGAGCTGGCGGCCATTTTTCCCTCCTGATTGATCGGATCAGGTCACTGATCTCTGTTTATTCACTGGATTGCTCATTGGTAGTACAGGGCTATAGTGAAGCCACCCGCCGCCATATTGGTACTCCCTAGTTAGACCGGTTGAAATGTAAACAATCAGTGCGCTACAGCATCGAAAAATGATGATGTTCTAATTTTCAGGGGGACTTAAGACTTTTAAATAAAGATTAATTTATCACTTTGACACAGACTGGCTGTTTGACAGCATCAGTATATTATTTTAAATTAGAATAAAAAAATAAAATAGGCCCATCGCATTGCAGAGTCATTATGAAACTACACATAATATGCAACTCAACGCTTGCATGGTAATGACCTAAATAAGGAAGTAAAGCTGAGTGATATGGCTTCAATAAAATCTACGATTTTTGATTCCACATAATAGGTTTTTTTTTCAATTTTGTATCATAAAAACAAATATAAAACACTAATCACCTCTGAGAACTGACCTGCATAAGAAGTGGAACTACATCCAAACTGTAAAAATGCCTGTTAAAAAAAAAAGCAGATTATAGTATGGAAGCCCGTTTCCGCCACTCTGTAAAAAAAATAAAATTATCTCATTATAATGAGATACTATCTCATTATAATGAGACAGTATCTCATTATAATGAGATAATTTTTTTGTCTTCTTTTTTCAGAGTGGCGGACATGGGCTTCCATATTATAGGTCCTGCAGTTTGAAGACATTAAAAATGAAGCCAGAAAATCACCCAACCCTAAATGGGATTTATTTATTTCCTTTTTTATGTTAAACACAAGTTAGAGCTAAAGTATACCTCTGTCTCAGTGCTTAGGGTACAGATGCTGCTTCCACAATCAGCTGATCTTACATTTCATTTCCAGATTTCACATCCAGACTGAATGATCACTTCATGCCTGTTAATGCTGCAGTATTTCCCTCTATGCAGATGATGCATTAATGATGCCATATACTGCTATGCTGTGTCTGTGCATTAGCCTTTCAAAATGTTGCTCATTTTTTCATCAATATAACCAGCAATATATTAGTATATTTATATATTTCAGCTCATGACTTTTTTAAATATGAAATAAACCAAAAACTCCAGCATCATCCACTGAATAAAGAATGACTAAATTAACATTTAACGGTGAATTACTTCCTATTTCCTAACATCAGACTCAGTGTCGGTGGATAACTCAGGCTAATCATCAGTGTGAATGTTTTGCTGCACAGGGAGGCATTTTTATGGCACGTCTCAGTGGGAGTGGGGAGTACCAAGATGGCGGCCAGTGGCTTCACTTTTTTCGGGTAATTCAGTGAACAGATAGAGATCAGTGGGTGAGGTGTTTATTCATTTAACGGACAACAGCCTCTTTTCCCTCTGTGTTTATTAAACTTCATGCAGCTAGCAGATGCTAATCGCTTAGCCACAGAAGTTAGCATCGCTTTCAGCGGGTCTGTTGCTTTAATGAAGGCTCCTCGGTGGGGAGGCGGCCTCACTGCTGGGCTGTTCTACTCACTCAGATCTATGTCTGTAATGGCAGCTCCTCAGAACAGCTCCAACACCTTCATCTTCTTCTCTCCGCTCATGTTGTTTTGAGTGTCGCTAACCGCCGGGATGACGCCTCTCTGATTGGCTACGAAGAAAACGTCACAGGTGATTCTGACCAATGAAGATAGAGCTTTGTCTGGTCCGGTATGGCAGCCCGTTTGACATTTATTAGAAGCGCTGTCCTTTCTTCTGTTCCATTTGTTGATCTTTAAAATAAGATTCTTCCTGGTCAAAACAAAATTCCCACTAGTCAGAAATTAACATATAGATATCCTACATTACATATTAGCTTACAAAAATTTAATTTCAGGATGCAAAACATATAATTGTGCTAGTAAGAATAAACTTTCAGACGCCTAGAAATTTTTACAAATCTTAAGTATGCGTTTTGACATTTATTAGCTTGACTGAATATATATTTCCGATGTCTCAAAAGTATTTTTTCCTAGTCAAAATAAACATTTCAGATATCTAATATGTAATTCTTACTAGTACAAATGACGTCACAGTTTCCATTCATGTGTATTGGGCTTTTATTTCTAGATCTCTAAAATAACATTCTTCCTATCTAAACCTGAATCTGATCTCAATAATAGATTTACTGCTAGTCAAAATTACTATTTCAGATATCAAAAATGAATATAATATTCTAAATATCCAATTATTGACATCAAACATATATTTCTAATTGAAGAAATGTCCTTACAGATATCAAATAATGATATATGACTAGTTCAATCGGAATTTCAGATATCAACATTTTAATAATGCCGATCCAACATGCAGTTTTAGATACTTAAAAACATTGTTTGACTAACTTTCAAAAGAATAATGAGGCTCCATTTTAAGATCAAATAGGCAGGCTGACAGTCACATTTCTATTAGTTTCTATTATCGGTCACAATTGCAACAATCCTAGTTAGAATCTTATTTAAGCATAATTACATTCTTACCAGCAAAATTTTAATTTTAATTACTTTAGACACAAATTTGTACAAGTAAGTTCTAACTTGAATTTTCTATCTAAAATTAATACTTCAGATATCTAAATGTGATTTTTACTAGTACAAATAACGATACCCATTCTTTTTTTTTGGGCTATTACCTTCAGATATCCGAATTGACATTAGTCCTATCTAAAATAAACATTCTGGATGTCTAGAAATGAATTTCAGATCTATGTAATCCGATTACAGATATCGGAAGCTCACCTGGAAGCTGCATGCTGGGACAGCTGTCAATTTGGAGAACGGATGCATGCTGCTCTGATGCATGCTGGGTAAAGAGGGAGGGGCCAGAACAACATCTGGGGACTTTGTCCGTTCTCTGTCTGCTGTTCTAGTGAACTGGAACAGTGCTAGGGCTGAGGAGGATGACGTTTCACGAGGACACGAGGACGCACCAGTACACAGATTGAGAAACGGCCCATTAGCGGTTAAAACATTTATTTAATGGGAACAAAGAAACAAACGAAGCCAAAATAGTTCCTATGATCCACTTATCTGGAACAAACTTCCAGAAAACTGTAAAAATGCGGAAAGCCTGAGTTCCTTTAAATCAAGACTAAAAACACATTTGATTAGGATTGCCTTCCACTGTTCTAGTTAAACAGTTCAACTTAGACATCATTAGTACAACTTTTTTATTCTGATCATGTTGGACTGAACTTTTGAACGTGTCAACAAGGATTCCCCTAATCAGCCGCTCGGCGACTCAGTTTGTTCTGACTGTAGCCAATAACGGATGAGAAGAAATCCTAATGTAATTTATTTTTCTTCCACACTTCTTATTCACCTCAGACTTCTGCTACAACTCTGAGCTGTGTCACATCCAGAAGGATGAACAGCCATTGTAGGGTGTATCATGGTCAGGGACAGGAGTCTGGTGGAGGACTTCACCACCTGGTGCCGCACCAACCACCTGGAGCTCAACATCTCCAAGATGAAGGAGCTGGTCATAGACAGACTGGGTTGTCATAGACTTTGGGAGGAGCGGACCAAAGACTAAGCCGGTACTACTGCAGGAGGCTGAGGCCTTGGATTGGAGAGTGGCTGGAAAATAAACTGGACTGGTTAACAAAGACCAACCACCTGCACAGGAAGACAGAGAGCAGGATGGACTTCCTGAGGAGACCGAGGTCCTTCAACATCTGCAATAAGCTGTTGGAGATGTTCTACCAGTATGAA